TAATTACCATAACGATAACTGATGTCAGCATGTTGCATGTCAGACATCTTGACTGTGACACGCTATTGGCAAACATTGCATCTGTAAATGTCTCTGGTCTGGTTTTTGTTCTTGATTTTTCTTAGGCTGTTGTACACATTGTTTTTAGGCGCAAAAAAAAAAAAGTGACAGTAGAAATATCCAACAAAACAAGAATGGAAGTGACTTGTTCTTCGGTAGGCCAGCCTCCTTCTTTGGCCCAGACTACAGAGGATTATGCCCCAACCTGTAAAAGGAATTGAGCTCACATAGAGAGGCCTGGAGGTGAGTTGGTTCCAAATACGGGCATTGAGTTTCCAGGTTGTACACGCACACACCGGTGCTTCAAAAGCTGGAGGGAATTAAACTGTACTCTTGTAGTGGACAGAAAAGACTCATGCTTGCTGGGGGCTATTCAGGTTAACCTCAGTGCTCCATAAACAATGCCAGTAAGGGAATGAGTCAGCGTGCAAAAATGCTGAGAGTTTTGTGGACTGGATACATTTCAGCTGACGGTACGATTCCATTCACACAAATATAGTCAGAGGAACTAAGTATAGTTTGGAAAGCAACGGCCCTCGTTTCTGTGCGTTTGTGTTGTGAAGACAGAAAGTCATAGTCTGTAGCTTAGTGTGAATTTGTCCACTTGTGTGCGTTTTGTTGCCTGTACAGAAAAATACAGATCAATTGTCTCCCATGAATTATATTTTGATGAGTTTTGTCTAATAGACCGTTTGTCAGCGACGTGTCTGTCGGGTCCAAATTGGGCTACAATGATGTAGCGTGAGCTCAGCAAAACAGGGTTAATGATGTAATAAATATTTCATTGACCTAATTTTTTAAGAAGGCTGGTTTCGGAGTTAAAGGGCTGCAGATGGACATTACTCATGGTGGTACATGGTCCGAGGGTACTTTCGAGGTCAGCATACTGTCACATGACAGCATGGTAATTGTGTCTATTCCCCGATATCGGACTTGCATCATGGCCTCCTCCGGTCCAACCTATCCTGCGTGATTTGGTCCCCAGACACTATCTGGCACCCAAGATATTGAAATTGGTGTAGGGCGTGCAGGAGAGGTTTCACTGTTAAAACAGGAAGGAAGGTGCACTGAGGTACGCACGTTTAGTTGTTTTTTTTTTTTTTTTTTTACCCTTCACATTTCCTCTGAGAAACATATACTTCCTCTTCTCACTTCTGTATGGAGTAGAGCCTGTCTGTAATGATTTGGAATTTCCCACTTTTGTTGTGTGACATTCAAAGCCCTGTACGATTTGGACAAAAGTAGATTTTCCCATATCTGTAATTTTGTATTAGGACTGTCCCGATGACGTGATCGGAACTCTGGCGCAATCAAGTTATTTTCATCTCATGAGGTCCTTGGAACAATTCGTTGTTCGAGCTTAGGCTAAATATTGGTCGTTTTTGGATACAAATCTTGATTTCGAACATGTTTACATGTTCACCAAAACGAACCCACACCACCTCACCCCGCGATCTTACGTTATTTGCATTTGCTTACACTGTTTTGCACCGTAGAGTACTGCGTTTTGACAACTAAATAATAATAGGTCTCAAGTAGTCTGTCTTTTGTTTTCATTCTGAAGGGACTGTTTTTCATTTGTTAAATTGATTTCATTACATAAAAGAAAAAGGAGACACACACATTTACAGGAAAATGCTACACTTGAATGAAAAGAACCAGAGAAAAGAATAAATCTGATACATTATTTTTTTTACAACTGGAAATGTTTACCGTTAACATTTAAATAACCCAAGCAGAAATTCTGTTATAAAACAAAATAAGCGCAAGCAGAAATTCTGTTATAAAACAAAATAAGCGCAGGAGACATGCCAAACTTCACTACCCACAACGAAATCCGTCCTCTGGATCCCAATTATTTTTCCATCACACGCATTGAAATTTGAGTGTGTCGCTTTGGTAAAATCCAAGGACAAACTCTTGCCTCCCTCCTATATTTTAGATGAGTCCCCCTGGCCAAATGTTCAGTTTGCATACCCCCACAGGTCTCTGCATGGGTATCCTTCATAGATGTATTTTTATTCCCTAGAATTCGAATAACTCCACGAAGCCCGGACATTAAAAAGTAATAATGTACTCGGCTCTTGATGTGAGGGCAAGAATTTTCATTCAGTGCTATTATGATCCCGGGGAATAGGAATTGCCGTCGAGGGCTGAAAAAATGCCATTGCTGTTACTCTGCTTTTGTGTACCTTATCTTAAATGGATTTAATGACATGGTGTCTTTATCTAAAATGGAAATCCCGATGCTTGAGATTTCTAATGTCGCGTAAATGCGGGCGCTACATGTGCACTAACCTCTTTATTACACAGTAGGTCTGGTCTGTTTAGCCGATGTGGTGCCATGTTGCACAAGACGTCTCCACACGTAACACTAAGAGACGCAACTTGTTAAATTGTTTGATTTGGAGACAGGGAGAGGGAGGAGACTGAGCGACAGGGCCTGACCAAGCTTGCCAGCACTGTGGCAAAGAGCTGCAAGAGGCTTATACTCCCATATACAGACATTTCCAAGAGGGCCTGTTCCCTGGCCTTGCGCTGTGGTTTCCTGTTAACCCCTCAATAGCGTCGGAGTCTCAGAAGGATAAGACCAGTAAAGACAGCCACCGTTTTTTTTTTCTCTACACTTATTACGAGTTAAAATGGGTAAAACGGGCCCGGCTCTTCGTTTACACCACGCCTGCATTTTGGGACCCTGAAATATTTGAGAGAGAGACAGTTTTTATGTCAACGGTAGTGTTGCCATTTTTATTTAAAAGCAAGCATTTGAGAACACTGCAGTATACTTCTCCCGCAAATTGTACGTTACGGTACCGCAAATATTTTCCAGCAGAACGGTATTACTTACCAATGTTGTACACATTCACAGGACATAGCCTGACGTTTTGTAGGCATGTCAATAGTGGTTTTCAAAATGTACATTTTGCCCAAACTTCAGAATGCCATCGCTCGCTTGAGGTGTAAAAAGGAGAGCGACAGTCGACGATTTAGTTTGTTATTGCAAACAGTCGACCTCACAAATACAAAATGAGAGAACACTGGCACACAGCTACAGCAGACCAAAAAAAAAAAAATTAAAGTTAGCGCTTCAGGGTTCATTCAAGGTTGCAAACGTTGGCAAAGACGTTCGCCAGGCACTCGCCATTGAAACTTTGCAATTGTCACTGTGTCGCCTGGCACATGATTGTTTATTTCCATTGAACAAGCTTAGGTTGACATTATTTATTGCCGGAGGTCACGTAACCATTGCTGTGGATTACTGCATCACTAATGAGTCATATTCAGCCATTGGTTCCTTTTGTCAGCTGTGTGCCTCATCATACCATACACAGGAACGTTGACGCATGTGAGCGTGTCTAGATGCCTTTGTCCATACTGTATGCGCATGCACCACACCAGCTTTGAGAGTCTCTGTCTGTAGTAGTATAAATAATGCAGTTGTGCACTCTGCGTCTCACCCCTGAGCCATCACTTTCTATGCCATTAAAAATGCATCCATTTCCCAGTCCAAAGTGTCCGTCCCCTCCCAGTTCCCATAATCCCTTTCCCTTGACCGCACATCAACGGTGAGCTCGAGGCTCATCTGACCAGGAATCCCAGCAATATTTTCTATGTTTAATCCTCCAGCCACAATTAATTTTTAACCTGAGCTCACTGTGTTCATGTGTTTACCGAACTGAAGGGCAATGGTATCAACTCCCTTGGGTATCAACTCCCTTGTTTGACATCAAGATTGTTGTAGATTTTGTTTTTATTTAAACTTGGTTTTCCCCTGGGTTGTTAAGGTGCGTTTCCCCCGAAATCATGAGCTTGTAGTTATTACTTTCAGGCAGCTTATCCTTGAAGCTTTCTCTTTTACAGCACAATAAGTGAAATGGTTGAGAAAAAAAAAAACCCAACGGTCGGTGTATGGAGTAATATTCTTCTTGCTCTTCCGTGTTTTCCAGACTGCTAACAGACAGGACAATGAACCGATAACAGTCTAGTAACAGTCACAACAAATTGTGTGGGAGTGACTATTGACTGATTGGGCCAAAGCAGTCCTTATAAGGTGGGCTTTGCAGCAGGAAGTGGGCTGTGGTGTAGGTACTGTGTCATAGGAAAGGAAGTGGCGGATTGTTTCATGTCTGAGACAGATGGAGGAAGAGATGGATTAAGGCGCTGTGGGGGTGAACGGGTCGGAGGGTGTGTAAAATAAAGAAAGAAGCATGTACTCATCTTTTTTTGTTGCCGTCACTATCATTTAGCATTTTATTCAGAAATATCAAAGCCCTTTTTTTTTCTGCAGAGGGTTATGTAAAAATGTGGAAGATTGCACAGCTCTGCACAATTTCCTGTCTTTGTCAACCTACATTGTGATTTGTCTCCCGTTTTGTTTTGAATTAACCGCCCCTGCCCCCTCAAAGAAAAGAAGAATATACCACGCGCTCTCTTGACCTTTCACTAATTGTTACAAACACATGATTCTGCACTTGTCTGTCTGTCCTATCAATGTTGCTGTTTCTTATCAACTGTGCAATTGTTGTACTTGCATGGAATGACTTTGTATGAGAAATGAGAAGTCAGACGCGATTGTCATGAGAAGACACTGTTGTCTCTAATGCGGTTAAATTTAAAAAAAAAAAAAAAAAAAAAAGGGAAGCAGAACAGGCTCAGTGAGGCTGATGTACATTTACTGGCCACATACAATAAACATTTCGGAGACCAGTAAAACTAATGAAGTCCAAGTATCCAAAATTCCACCCTTTCAATAGCCAGTGCAACAAATATTTGCTTGGCCGTAACATAGCCCGGTCAGAGCGGAGATTGGTGCTCTGCTGGGTATGTTTATTTGTTTATTTCAGGATCCCCATTTGTCTCTACCAATGCAGACTCTTCTTGCTGGGGTCGATATTTCCATACAGACTCACACATGAACTGTATTTTGCCTTTCATTGAAGTGAGTCGAGTATCTGCCAGGCTCGGGCCACTGTGATGATCTACGATGATGGCAATAAGAAGTGGCTGCCAGCAGGTGCTGGACCCCAGGCCTTCAGCAGAGTCCAGATCTATCACAACCCCTCCAACAATGCCTTCCGAATAGTAGGACGCAAGATGCAGACAGACCAGCAGGTGAAGTGAATTACTTTGGGCTATGTGTTTCAACTGATCATACATTGTATATTGATGGGAAATGTATTCATTCATCGTTTGTGTACAGTTTGCCAACTTTTGTTTCTTTGGGTTGCAATGTTTCCTCAAATTTTTCATGCGTCTGATCATTCACACAAACTCTTTGAGCATTCCTTGGACGACCGTGAGCAACATCAGACATGCACACAGTGGCCAAACCAGTATCACATCTGTCTAAAACCTACGATCAAAACAAATTAAATAATGTGGGTATGTTACAAAATATCAAAGTACACACACACACAAATATAAAATAATTCTTAATTCACCTAGGTAATCTGATGTGCAATTTTGTAAGATTTGTATAATTTGAAGATGTGTCTTTTGGCTTGTACGCACATGTCGTCGTGCGATGCCTCAGCATATCTTCTAAAATAAAAGCTCAATGAGCATTTTAAAGAGGAACTCCCATCAATCTGTTCTTATTTATTTTTGTGATTTATGACACCATTACACAGAGTCCTCAGTGATGGCATAAAGGAAAATCGTGGCCATTGACCCGGAAATGTAATATACGACGTACTGACAGATGTAGTACACTCCACATTCCACTCTAAATAAAAGCTAATACATGGACATTGTTTTTTTTTCTTAACCATGAAACCCAATCCGCTTTTTTCCATGTCGTTCACCTAAAATGGACTTCAGGATGTATCACTGTCATTCAGTTCCAGTACGAACTGGTTAAGTTATTACAAGACCATGACTCATGAGATAACATTCGATAAAGGTGGGCCATCAAGTTTCTGTAATAAGGGTTAAGTGAGTTTGGAGGGATCTATTCTTGACCACACTGTCATTCTGCCTGCTGCCTCAGCGTCTCACTTTAAACATTCACCACGCCAAAGTGCTCCCCAGAGACAGAGTCTTAAAGTGGATGATGTTTCCTGTGAGATAGTTGGCCTCTTCAGGCATTTCCTGTGAACGTTTTTTTTGGGGGGGGAAAAAGGCTCGTTGCCCATTCAGGAGCTTTTTCTCCAAATGTCCAATAGTGGAGACCTCCAAGGGGCAACTATGGAATAATGCATTTTCCTGTTCTTTCCCCTCCCAATGCATTTTGCTATCAATGATACTCACCCTCTCCTCTTTGTGTGCTGTGGAATCCAGAGGCGGTTAAACAAATAGTGAAATGACATGTCAGCACATTCAAGCAACGCTCAAAACCACAACATTGTTTCCCTTCTCATTCATTAGCCTGACGCCACCTACTGGATTGAATGAATAACCATGATGAATGAACCATGACTTTGGGACTTGTAGTCAGCGTCTGAGAAGTCTTCCAGAAACTCAACATGCACTTCTTCTTTTTTTTTCTCTTTGGTTTGAAGAGGAAGTCATGGTTTTTGAATCTATCCTTTGTGCTTGTCTTTGTACAGGTGGTCATAAACTGTCCTATTGTGAGAGGGTTGAAATACAACCAAGCCACACCTAATTTCCATCAGTGGCGGGATGCCCGGCAGGTCTGGGGGCTCAACTTTGGCAGCAAGGAGGACGCTGCTCTCTTTGCCAATGGCATGACACATGCGCTGGAGGTGCTCACCTCCATGGCAGATGCAGGTGCTGGTTCTCACTATCTTAAGCAGGCTCGAGATGTTTATCCAAATGTCCTTCCCACATATTGGCTTGTATTCATCACTGTTGCCAAATGGAATTGATGGCTAGTCTCGGATGGACTAAAAGCAGAATAAGAGATAAAAGTCAATTAACAGTGCAATAAAGAAAGTAGGTGTACCAGTCACTATTACGCAGGGATGGGAATAACTCACATATGTGCAAGTCACAAGTCAATTCGTAACCTTCAGGTCTCCAGCAAGTCCCAAGTCACTGTCAAAAAAAAAATCAAGCAAGTCGAGTTACCACCAAAAGTTAAAAGCTTACCGGTAGTTCCTCCTGGACACAAAAAGAGCTTAGTCTCTCACTTAAGATGTCACTTCAACAGCTGTACGTCCTAAATACCTACTGCTACTTTCCTATTTGCCACTCCCTTGACTGCGGTCTTGTCGCGATTTAGGGGATTTCGGAAGGAGCCTGAAAATACGCAAATAGGTGAGTTTTTCAGCAAAAAGATAATTTCGTGGGGGGCTTTGCGAGGACAATATGTCATAAATCGCGAATAGACTGGGTATGCTATATTTCCTCTTCCCTTTCCCAGCAAATATCTAACAGTTTGTCTTTTCTTAGACTGAGCAATGTTAGGGCAATCTAAATTTTTCTTTTACAAAATATTTGATAAATTAATTAGTTTAGACTACTGCCTCAGTTTTACTTTAAAAAGATATTCATTCAGGAGAGTCGTAAAGATAAATTTGGTGGTGGGTAGGTATCTAATCTAGTAATTTTTAAATGTAATTTGTGTTTTTGCACATTGTATTTTGGCAGGCTACGCTACCCTTCCGCGGCCGATGTCAAATGGTCCATCTCCTGAAGAGATTGAGCAGCAGAGGAGGTAAAAGATCTTGACACGGAGTATTGTTCATTTAACAATCAGTGGTCAATTCAGACCAACTAAACTTTGCAGTAGCCCTTTGGCAATTTTGCACCGAAGCATATGCACAGGATTTGATGGCATTAGCCTGACACTGCTAAACTCTGTCAGCCCCTGTAGGTTAAAGGTTAAACAGACAGCAAGACCGACACGGCTCACATAAGCCCCACCTTCTCTGCATCCATTTATATGTTCCTCCAGTTCCACCATTATGCTGGCCTGCATGGACTTGGCATTAACCTTTAATCTCATTTAAACTAAAAGGTCTGGGATTGGCCTACCAGACTGCCTGTCAAAACACTGTTTGTCCTGCCACGCTGTGGCTTAAGGAATAAAGCAGTGCTATTAAAACCTTCAAAATCCACCACAGATTTACATGCCAGTCAATGTTATTTACACTTATGGTTTTAGGAGGATTGAATGCCAAAATCATGATCACAATAATGTCAAACAGTAGTACGTGATGTGCTCATGATCAACTCAGCCCCACTGCCCCCAGTCGAAGAAGCAAAGGTTTTAAATGACACGGACTGCGTCATAATTGTATACTTGTGAGTTTTCGTATTGTATGTGAGCTGTGCTGCATACAGCTGCAGAATAGCAGATGTGGTGGGGACTTAGTTGAAGAGGGCTCGAATTAGGCCACAGCGTCCATCTGTGGACTTCTTAGTAACAACACAAATTGCGCAGTGTACTTTGTTCCATACTTCATGAACTTCAGTGCAGTTCCTGGTTTAAGTCCTCTTAACTGATGGATGTTGCATACATTGTCCCATTTGTTGATATGATCGCTGATAGTCAGCTAATAGTTTATTGTATCCCGTTTGGGGGTGGGGGGGTAAACAGGGATTAATAGTGCTCCGTCTGTTTGATTTATTTGGATCACATTCAAATTTAAACCTCTTTCACACAGAGTATGTCACAAAATTGTTGCACTGGAGCCATAACAGAAGATGTGGCATGTATCCACCATGTTAACTCGTCACCACATGCTGTAATTAGATGTATGACAATGTCAGCGCCAGCCTCTGATGTCGCATATGCAATACTTATACAATGTAATAGATCTTTATTCATGTCGCGCTTTCACAACAGCTGCAGTTGTAACAAAGCGTTTTGCAGAACATTTAACATAAAGCATGGACATTAATAAAAGTCAGTTTTTTGATAACTTTTATGGTACATACAAAGCATCGCATCATTTGAGGATAGTTGTCATTGAAATAATGAGCTACTTATCAACTATTTTTAAAATATAACTTGACGCATTAAGAGCCGCATACTTGGTGGTCACTACTGTATTCGTTTGCAGATTGGAGCAGCAGAAGTTGGAACAGCAAGAACGGGAGCGACAGGAGCGAGAGCGTCAGGAAAGAGAGAGATTGGAGAGAGAAAGACAAGCTTCAGCAGGTCAGGAAATTTGGCCTAGTCAACAGACTAAAACCAATTGGATACTTTTTTTTTTTTTTGTAATTGTTGAAGCTTTGTAGGGGGAATTCTTTCCCATTGTTGCTTGATGTACACCGGACCATTGAACAGTCCGGCGTCTCTGTTGTCGTATTTTACGCTTCACAATGTTGTGATATCCTTGACACACTTGTGTTGGTTTTTGATGCAGTCCTGCCGGGGGGATCGAAGGTCACGGGCATTCAATCTTGGTTTTCGTTCTTAATGCCTACACGGAGTGCTTTCAGCAGACTCTCAGAACCTTTTGATGTTATGGACTGTAGATTATGAAATTGTATGTTGAGGAACCTTGTCCCTAAAGTGTTTGACTATTTTCTCACGCAATTGTTCACAAAGAGGTGAACCGTGCTCCATCTCTGCCTGTGAATGACTGAGCATTTCAGGGAAGCTCCTCTTATACCCAATATTGGCACGTACCTGTTCCCAGTTCGCCTGTTCACAAGTGGGATGTTCCAAACGGGTGTCTTTTTTTTTTTTTTTGCCACCTCTTCCAGCTTTTTTGGAATGTGTTGCAGCCATAAAATTCTAAGTTCAGCATTATTTGCTGGAAAACAAGGTTTTTCAGTTTGAACTTTAAATATCTTGTTTTTTTTTTAAATAGTTATTGCATTACATATATGTTGAACGTGATTAGCAAATCATTGTATTCAGTTTTATTTTCGTTTAACACAATGTCCCAACTTCATTAAAATTGGGTTTGTATCTAATGGCAATCGTGGCGTAACACAAAATGAAAACAAAATGCGCATCACTCTGAGTCAACTGCTAAATCGATGGATTGTTGGCCAAGTGACTGTCACCGGGGGCGTGGCACCAAAATATCAGCCCCCATAATTAATTGTCATGAAGGGCCCCCACTGAGGTTAAAGTATTCTTTCCAGCTTTCAGTTTTTTTGTTTTTTTTTTGGACTGTATTGACTGGATGGGTATTGTCACCTGCCCCCCATCACTTTCATCATCTCCTTGAGGTTTGATCTCTGACATCTCATTTTTTAGCAGCTATTCCTTCTGGTCCGCCTATGGGACCTGGGGGCCTTGCTCCTCCACCGGCGCCTCCACCACCACCTGGGCCTCCTCCTCCTCCAGCCGCTGGTGTTCCGCCCCCTCCAGGACCCCCGCCATCTGGACCCCCATCTGGAGGACCCCCACCTCCCCCGCCTCTGCCATCAGAAGGAGCGAGCCTCGGTGGTGGAGGAGCCGGGGGCTTGGCTGCTGCCCTGGCAGGAGCGAAACTTCGCAAAGCATCTAAAGTGAGTGTCAAGCAAGGACTACAATGTTGTCAACAATGCTAATAGCTTCATTGTTGGTCATCACAGATAGGCTGTTTACTCGAGACCAAACACATTTGCAAACAAAAACACAACACAGCGCAAACACAAACCTTTAAAAATGGTCTTAACCCTTGTGGTATTTTCGAAAATGTCTTCAAACAATGAAAAGTGTGTTGTGTGTGTTTTGCTCAAGATAATGAGCTGAAGTGACCAGCAGAGACACTTTACCCAGGCGTGTTGCGCAATAATTTCAGCCTGGGATGTATGGGAGTGCTCCCTAAATTCGCAATGGCCACCACGTCTCTGCCTGCAAGTTAAAACAAGTGAATTATTTTTTTGACAAGCAATTTTGCTCCCAACGAGTAGCAGTTGACGGGCACCTGCATTTCCTGTAGCGGCCTGTTGGTGGTGTCAAGGTGGCTCAAGTTGTTCAATTCCCCAGAGGAGGTATTGTACTCAATATATCATTATCATTTTCTATTCTCAGCAGGAGGAAGGGTCTGCTCCAGCTGCAGTGGGCAGAGCAGACGCCAGCCGCAGCAGCAACTCCTCTATTGGAGGAGGCGGCGACCTGATGGGTGAGATGAGTGCCATCTTGGCCCGAAGGTAGAGACCATAGCAAAAGAAGATCCATATTTCCATGTGACCTAAAATAATGGATGGCTGTTGCTTATTACTTGCAATTCAAGCATTTATGGTCACAATTCTTGCTCTATCTTGATTCTGACAATCATTTGAATAACTTGAAGAATACAGTGAACTGAGTTTTGACCTTAAAACTAAATTCTTTGTCCCATCAGGAGAAAAGCAGCTGACACTGGAGAGAAAGTACCTATGAAGACACAGGACAATGTACGTAGCTGCTTATTTGCTCATTGAACTGGGCCAACAAAGAAGCATCCCCAAAATTGTCTCTGATACGATCTGACACTGTGGGCGCAAAAATCTGCTGCAGGATGACTCACTCTAATCAGGTCTTTTTTTTTCTCTCTCCACAGGAGGATTCAGAGCCTCAAGGTCAAAGTGGTGAGAAATCAAGATTTGTAACATGTTGCCTCCATTCACTGGCCAAAAGAATGCAATGTTTATATTTTCATGCATCATCTTGTCAGAAATCATGAAAAGACCTTGGGAGAAATCGTCATCCACTATGATGACCATGAACAGGTAAATAATTATCCGAGTTATTAGGGTGTCATTCTCAATCTGTTTCCCGAATGCATCGTGTGCTTTGAACTCACACTAAGTGTCGTCCTCCATCAGTGTGCATGCGACTTCACAAATATGTGCATCCTTTTTGCATCGTTGTCCAAGTGTGCTGTAGTAAGTGAATGTCAACCATTTTCATTGTAAGAGGAGAGTGTGTGTATGTTTCACTAACAGGAATAACTCCATTCCCAAGAGCATGGACTCCACCTCCTCATTGTCCCAAAGTTCCAGGTATACATACCTATACCATCCACTGTGACCTTCACTCCCATTGCCCTTTCTCTTTCTGTCTACAGGGCAAAAACTGATTGCATCTGATTGAGCACCCAACAATGCATTTTGTTCATTCTCATATTTATCTTGAGTTCAATTGCATAATTTATTGAAACTATTTCTGTCAGCTTCCTTTGAGGTCTTTGGTCAGTGCTGCCCCCCTTTGGTCATATTCCTGACACGATGGTTGCAGGAGGTGGCTGTCATGCTGTGGATTGATTTTATCATGAGTACATGTACCACTACCTTTAACAAATATAAATGTTTTGGTAACTTTGTGGGATTAACAATTCTCAATTATCTGTAGGTTTGACGATTGTAAAAGTGTGTCAAATTTAGGTGAATCTTTACTGACACGTGGCCGTGTACTGTCTATATATATATGAAACTTTTTAATCAGACAATTTTTTTCTTTGCTGCACCATGGCAACCCCCTCCAATCTCCTTTTAGTGCATCTTTTTTTTAAATAAACACTCAAAAATTCAATTTGTATTTTGATTTCTGCCATTGCACAGGGTGAAGCCACCAAACAACAGTAATGACGCAAGTGGATTCGAAGACTCGGATTTAGAAAAAATGAAACAGGTAAATTGATTGGGGATCATATGTTGGTGGGGTCTTTCTCTCTCTCTCTCTCTCTCTCTCTCTCTCTCTCTCTCTCTCTCTCTCTCTCTCTCTCTCTCTCATTTGCTGCATTAATGCACTCTTGCAAAGTTTTACCTGTGACTCTTGGTGATTTTTCTGCAGGAAATACTTGAGGAAGTGAGGAAAGAACTTCACAAAGTAAAGGAGGAAATCATCAGAGGTACAAATATCGCCCTCATTGTGGTGATAAACTACTATTTTGTAGTAGGGCGTTGTTTAGAGGGTGAGGCTTTCTTTTTGGGGCGGGGTTGATCAAAGGAAAATCTGTTGTACTAAAACAAACACCATGAACATTAGACAGCCCCCACCATGCCTAAAGCCTCATGTTCTGGCTAGAAAAAAAACTAGGCGACCTCGACCTGACCTTATGTTTTCAGGGACATAATATTTCTTGTAAGCAGCACCTTTTATGCATGTTATATTTAGTGAGTTTAGGGGTGTCTATTTGAGGTATGGCAGGTAGGCAACATCGCAGGCGGTTATTTGTGGCATGGTGTCGATTAGTGCGAAGGCCACCGTTTACATAGGGAATACATACACCTTACCAAAATGTTGATCTTTATTGTTTCTCCTTCTTCTACCTCACAGCCTTTATTCAGGAGCTGCAAAAGAGAAGCACATAGTTTTGGTGCACGTCTGGTATAGCAGAGGGATGTGATCGATGGAGGCTTGCTGGGATCTTTGCTCCACTGCGTCCTCTAATGTAGCCCAGGGATTTCTCATTGTCTTTTTTTTTTTCTATCTCCCACGAGCATTGCTTTCATGTCACCATGCGTAGATACTCTTCTTGTAAATGGTAACCCAGGGAACCTCCTCAGGCTGCCATCCAACTTGTTAAAAGATCATGGTGATCCTGTCTCTCCCCCATTCAACTGTCCTTTTCCAATGTGTTCTATGAGAATCAGTTGAGAGTTCACAGCTGCAACCACAGTACTAATTTGTCATCGTTTGTCTTCATATCAGGAGTCTTTCTGCTAGTTGTCTTCTGACAGACGCATTTACTGGTAAAGCAGTATTCAGGGATAAGGTATTTGCCACATTTTTACTGTAATAGCAAGATGCTGGAATGTTGGGATTTTATTACTCTGCTTGCTCTCGGCAACGCCTCAAAAACGACCATAAATACTTGTATCAGACGTCCGCCGGTAGTTTGTTTCCTTTCATGCTAATTGGAAGACAGAAAATCAATAATTGGGGAGAGCACAGAGAACCCAACTCCCTGACTGCTGCAGTGTCTTTCCATCACATGGATTTACATCTCGGCACAGCACAAAGCCTTCACTGCTGCAGGAAGAAACGAGCAAATGGATGCTGATGGACAACCGGAATGCTGTGAATGAGTGTGCTGTTTTGTGTATGAGAAATGTATTCTCTTTGCATTGCACTTGTTCTAGAGTCAAGTGTGAGCATGTGCCACACTGCCTTGACAGACTTTTTGTTTCCCTCACAGTCTAAATGAAATGTTCTTGGCCAGTGCAGTGGTCTTAAATTGTACTATTGCTGGTTATTTTCTTGATTTTTTGCATTATTTTCAGTTTTTTTAAACATGGCCATGAATAGGTCAATTAATTTGGCCATAACCAACTGCCTTGAGAATGACTATAAATTTAAAAAATATATATTATATATATATAAAGATAAATATATTTGTTTTGAGGGAAAGTGTTATCACAAATGTTTTTTCTATTTTAAAATTACTGGTGAATGGGGATTTTGTTTTTCCTTTTGATTGTTTTCTTATGAGATGTTATTTTGGGTTTACGGCTTCTTTTTCTAATAGAATCTAGGCTTTTTACACTGAACTATAAAGAAAACAGCTTAGAGACACTGGATTAGAAATGCCTTTATAGTCGAATACAGCTGCTTCTTGAAATGCAGTTTGTCTCGTGTTGTCTTTTTGCTTGAGAACATGTTTGTGTATTTCCATCTCTTTGGTAAAATTGCATGTATGTAAAAGTATGCACTACTATAGATGCTTAAATTGCATTGTACATTCTGCGCTGAGCTCCCAGATCCTTTTGTCGTTTTTCTTTGTGGTTCTGTTGATAGTTTTGTTTTTGCCGTCACGAAGCCTTTCTGTGGCGGCAACAGGAGAGAAGAGTAAAAGCAAACTTGTGGAACTAATCTTCATGACGACGCTCACTGAGCTGAGGTTTCTGACGTCACGCATGGTTTCTGTCATATAATAGGTTAACTCAGAAGATTTTTTTTTTTTTGTGCATTAGATTCATTTTTTGCGTTAGAGATTCATTTTAGCCCATTCATTTTCTGCGATTGTTTTAGAATATGAGATGCAAGTGCTTGTGAGGATAAGCGGTTCACTCAATGGATGAAAGACTGCCGCCGTCCTCAAAAATGACGTGTGCACAAGTTGAAGGAACAGAAAATGTTTGAATTATTTGTGGATATAATTAAAAGTATGCAAGTTGAAAAATAGCCAATACCAGTTCATGTCTGCAGCCAGTGTCCTGCCAGAACTGACTTGATGCTTCCGGATCGGGAAGCCACTCAAAACCGTTTCCGCCGCCATTGCGGATTTCGGGACAGGAGATCAGTCGTTAATACAGCCACGATCCATCTTGCAGTGCGAAGGGCAAAAACTAAATTCTGACACATTGAGCATCTTTGCAGCCGCGACGTTTGGGTGACATTTTTAGCAGCAGTGCGTTTGTGTCGCGTTTTTGTCTCCACGGACTCGCTCCGACCTACACGTAACGTAAGGAGGTCGTAAGCTAGCGCGGTGCTGCTGCTCTGCTAGCTAGCACGGCGGCTAACACTTCCATCACTCTGGAGAACACCGAGGAAAATAGCATGTCGCAAATTTTGCCTATCCGCTTCCAGGAGCACCTACAGGTAAGTAGGCACGTTCATTAGTTATATGAAACGTGCGGATGCTTTTTTTTTTATCAAGTTCCTCAAAACGGAGTCGTGTGACAGCTCGCTAGCAAATTAAATACCCGCAGCAAATGAACGACCTCCCCTCCCCCGTTTAGCATCAGTTCACGAATAGGCTTCAAGGCTGGAATTTCATCGGTGACACCGCGCGGACCAATTCACCTTTTGACATTTTGGCACTTGCCAAATCAACAAATGTATTTGCTTCGAAATTTCGACCTTTTGACCGGCACACGCCTCCAATTTTAAATATTAGCTCGGACCGTCACGAATGTGTCGTGAGGGATGCTCGCACTCACGTCATCTAATCACAGCTTCATTAGAAAGACACGTGATTCACACGGAATTTGAATTAAAAAATGACCAGTTAAGTCCTTGTGCTACATGTTGCATACTTGAATAGACGTTTAGATATTGAAGTCTCACATTGGCCATTATGTCAGTGAGGTTGAATGAATCAAGCAAGAAGCTGCGAAGCCGTGTTCAGCTGTTCACTGACTCCAATCATACGGAAGCGTGAATTTTTAAAATATTAGTTGTAGAAGTCATTGGTCTGGCTACTGTGCACTTTTGCACACAAATTGAGAGGCTTTTCCCTACTAGATTTTGTAAAATAAAATAAGTAGTGATCAATACCTAATGTTACATAATCCACTATAAAAACTCAGGGTGCTTATAAATTGAGCTATGCATATTTTGGAAAAATGATACCCTTTAAGGAGAAAGACTCCACTGGACGTTATGTAACAGTTGAACAGTGCAGTGTGGGACAAATAAAGGATATCTTATGTGTGTGTGTGTGTACGTGCTCTAAAAAATAAGGAAACACTAAAATAACCCGTCCCAGATCTGAATGAACGAAATATTCTTATGAAATACACAGTTTAATATGATGACAACAGAATCACACAAAAATTATCAATGGAAATCAAATTTGTTAACCCATGGAGGTCTGGATTTGGAGTTGCATTCAAAATTTAAAATGGAAAAACACAAGACAGGTTCATCCAACTTTGATGTAAATCCTTAAAACAAGTTAAAATGAGGCTCAGCAGCATGTGTGGCCTCCACATGCCTGGATGATACAACTATTTATATGTATGTGTGTTTTATTTTTATTTAATTATTTATCTATTTATTTATTTTTATATTTATATAACACTAACTCTCTTCATATTCCAGCTCCAGAACCTGGGCATCAACCCGGCCAACATTGGGTTTAGCACTCTGACAATGGAGTCGGATAAATTCATCTGTATAAGAGAGAAGGTGGGAGAACAGGCACAGGTTGTCATTATTGACATGGCCGATCCCAACAACCCGATCCGCAGACCCATCTCTGCAGACAGCGCCATCATGAACCCTGCTAGCAAAGTTATTGCACTTAAAGGTAAATGGCACCCCAAATGGTACGTTATTTATAGAGGATTGTGATAGTAAATTTACTTCAAATTCAAACCAAAATAATGTTCGACTTAATTGGAAACCTTTTCTGTACACACGGGCCATCTGTGTAATTTATCTGTCGTCTGCCATTTTGATGTTCACACATAGGCCACCTCATTTGTTTGTCCGGACTAAAATAGTGTAATTTATGTGCTTTTTTTTTTTTTCTATGAATTTACAGTATGTTACTATTCAGTAAAAGTGATGGTTAGAAAAATCATGCTGTCATGAATGCTTTGTCTATTTTTGTTTTTGCTCTTTTTTCATTTCCTTAATGCTTTCTTATGTTTGCAGACGGTGAGTTGAATTTTACAAATCATAAGTTGTCAAAGTGTATTCCTGTATGCACTTGTCTTGACATGAATGCACAATACTGGTCATAGTCTTAATGAATGCTTGAACTGAAAGCACAAGCCTGTAATTGTTTAAGCAAAAGTGTTGGATACACACACACACACACACACACACACACACACACATATATAAAAATTGGGTTTAGTACACCACATACAGACTTAGAATTTGATACAAATAAGTAGCCCTTGTAATGGGCTACAAATTGATGATGAATTTTTATTATTGTAAAAGAAATTGTTTACTGAAGCATTTCACAAGCAAAGTTAAATGTATTTTTAAGCATTTTATTCTTATAAGTCAGTTTCCATGTGAAAGAACTTTTTCTCGAGAAAAATGCTCACTACTCTGCTTATCTCCTTCATTTTGTTGTAGTTCGAAAATGTTCAACGCAGAGATCCATTCTCATTAATCCATGACGTCAGTTTCAGGCGTTTCAGTTTATAAATTCAGTCACATTTTTTTTCTTTACAATATCTTCAGTGTTCCCCCACCTCACCCCCAGCCCACAAGTGTGAACATGTTGTTGTGATTAATATTGCATTTAACGAGTATGACTTTAGCAGACCACTCCACCTGTTTTTATCCATCTCACCCTGCTGCCATTTTGCCTTGTACTGTCACTTGCTGTCGACTAAAAAGGACATCACTGTGCCGAAGAACCCATCTTACATGGGTCACGTGACCAAACCCAGAAAACAGGTGAACTCTGACGGTCGTTATATTTGAGCCCTTAGGCATTTTGATGTCATTTTCGATCGACAGAAAATGGCGGTACATGGCAAAATGGCTGCCTCCTGAGATGGGTAAAAACAGGTGGATTTTTCTAATTAATTCATGTACCATAACAACAATATTATTCATGATACCCCGTTTGCACGAGTGAGGGCGTATTTATCATATTGTAAAGAAAATACGTTTCACTTGACTTACCGAATAGAGACTCTTTTACTCTTTTCCGGGCTTTCCACTGTTTAGCACAGACACATTATAGTGTGGATATGCCCTCCAGTTCTGATGATATATGCTGCGTATATTACTAATGACTCATGATTTGGGGCTATATACTGTATCTTTTTGTGTTCATACAGAACACTGCAAATTATATTTATGAACGAAACAAATTAGTTGGTGTTGGTGCATCTGTCCAGCAACCTTCCCATCATTACATCCCTTTGTGTGCTTTGTAATTTCCTCTTGCAAATCTGCATTCAGACCTAAGCCAAAGTCTATCATCCCTCATTTTAGAATTTCATTCTCAATTGTGTTATTTCTCTAAGTTGGTAAGCCACAGAGCTTCGTGTTTTGTGTAGATGGAGCTTCCTATTTGATCTGTTTTGAGGCAAAGTGACCAAAGCCCATATCTCACTGAGCTGCGAGTATTTACGAATGTTGCTTTTTTCGTAATGGTTCCTAAGTTTGCAAACAGTTTTTTTTTGTTTTTGTTGCAAAGAAATTCTGAACATGTTTGAAGAAAAACAGGAAAAACTGTTTGAGGACGTTTTGCTTTTGCAACCTTTAAAGAACGCTGACGAAAAACCTGCGTTCGCTCTGCGCGCAAACACTTGGAAACGTTCGATGCTTCGCGAGATACGGGCTGAACCACTGGAATAAAATAAGTCCATCCAGAAGCTCCGTAGATGTGTTCGTCATTGCATTAAGAAGACATTCAGACAGAAAGCACTGTTTTAATATAAAGTTTGCTTCAAGAATAAAGCTTTTTAGCAAGTTGGCCGAATGTGCTTAGATGCTCAAAGACGGATTCTTGGTAAATTCTAAAAATATGTATATATATATTTTAAACCACAAAATTTTGTTAACACAGAATTTGCTTCTTCCTCACCACTTGCCTGCCTCACACACACCCTCTTGTGCTCCACTCACAAAGCTACTCTGAATGTTGAACAACTTGGTTGGCAGAGTCATGTCATGCGGCAGGTGTTAAAATGCACGCACTTGGTCTGCGTATTCCCAGCGTGTATAAGAAAGCTAGCTGAAAGCTGTGCACGTTAACATATGATTGCCATTAATTACTCATACAGTATGTGCTTGTCAAAATAACGTAATAGCGCTGGATCTGCAAATAAGGCGTCTGGGTCCAGATCCAGACCAGAGTCTTCCTATTTCTGACTCCTGGTTTAATATGTGCATAACAATCGATTACAAATATTGATGGTATATATTTACCAGACAATATCATTGAAGGGAAATTGTGTCACCATAGTATCCTCATTGATATGACCACAGAGAAAGTGAAATAAATGTACTGTCCGTAGAATGTGCCCACCAAGGCCATTGCAACACCACCAGTGAAAATAACTGAATCGAGACCTGGAAGTACGCAGTGCTTTGCCAGTCTGAACACAGTTTGCAGAAGTCTCTCAGCCATTTTGTCTACAGTACATTATACCAGGGGTTTGCATATTCAGCCTTGAATGTGCACACATAGCAATCAATGCGCTGAATGCAGATCTACCACAATGTGGTTGCCCTTTTGTTGGTCTTGCTTCTTGATTTGACCCTGGAATTTGGTATTCCCAAATGGTATATTTTCCCCTTCTCCCAATCTGCCCCCATTGTTTGGTGTGGGTGACGCGTGGTAGCTTAGATTACTCAATTTTGTTTTAAATACAACTAGTTGGTAATTGCAAGCGTGTAGTGCAGGGGGGAAAAAAAATCTCGACCAACGTTAACTTTGACCTCAACACTTTCAGCGGCCAAGACCCTGCAGATCTTCAATATTGAAATGAAGAGCAAGATGAAGGCTCACACAATGACGGATGATGTGACCTTCTGGAAGTGGATCTCCCTCAACACCGTCGCGTTGGTCACAGACAATGCAGTCTACCATTGGAGCATGGAGGGCGACTCTCAGCCAATCAAAGTCTTTGACCGCCACTCCAGCCTTGCAGGCTGCCAGATCATCAACTATCGCACTGACGCTAAACAGAAATGGTTACTGCTAATCGGCATTTCAGCACAGGTACTGACTTTGCGGGCATTAGCTTTTCTGCAAACCAGTCGCTCTGTATTTTCCGTCTGTGTATCCCATATGGATTTTTGAATGCATTGCGGTTTATATTAACCTGTTGAATGACCATCAGTGCTCACTTTTTTTCCAAGTGCATTTTGGGTAATTTCTCTCTGGACATTCAGACACCCCTACAAAATGGCAAGCACAATATTGGGAATAGTGTAGACATTGAGACCCAGCCCCATGATGTTATTCAGCATTTTTCAGTTGATTAGGTAATTTTATATTCAGTTTGTTGTTCAGTGTATTGGATTGTGTGGGGTGGGAAAGCCCAATAAACCGCAGGTGGGGTACAATGTTAATGATCTACAATCCTTATACTTGCATTTAGTGTTATAGTTTCATAGTAAAGTTCAACTGCATCACATAACAGAATGTATCATTCATATACTGCATATTTGTACCATATGTAATTTATGTATCATCTTTTTTTTTTTTTTTTGGTTATGTTTTGGTTGATGTTCTCCAGCAAAACCGTGTTGTTGGAGCAATGCAGTTGTACTCGGTGGACAGGAAGGTTTCTCAGCCCATTGAAGGTCATGCTGCCGGTTTTGCACAATTCAAGATGGAGGACAACACAGAGGAGTCAACGCTCTTCTGCTTTGCTGTTCGAGGACAGGCTGGCGGAAAAGTAAGATTGTTTTCATGCGCCTGACTGACACATCATTTAAATTTTCATGCCCTCATATCTTTTTTTTTTTTTCGTTTTGTTTTGTGTTGGTCTGATCTTAGCTCCATATAATTGAAGTCGGCACTCCACCAACTGGGAACCAGCCATTTCCAAAGAAGGCTGTAGATGTATTTTTCCCTCCAGAAGCCCAGAATGACTTCCCTGTTGCCATGCAGGTATGAAATTGTTAAGCTGCAGGAACCCTGTTATTGTGCTACCAGTGTCAAATTTATTGGGTTATGTGTCTATTGCTGTGTTCCGAGTTTGACCATTGATGTCTTGTACGGACATAATTTTAAAATTTATTCATAAAACAGGCATTCTAATTATGTCTGTATTGTTTGTATTTTTAGATAAGCTCCAAGCAAGATGTAGTCTTTCTCATCACCAAATATGGCTACATCCACCTGTACGACTTAGAAACTGGGACTTGCATCTACATGAACAGGATCAGTGGAGAGACCATTTTTGTCACTGCCCCTCATGAGCCGACTGCTGGTATCATTGGGGTCAACAGGAAAGGACAGGTATTAAAAATGTTTGTGCACATTCCTTCTTCACATCTAACTGCTCGGACCCGCGATCCTCATTTTTTGCATGTATATTGTTCCCGGAAATACATACTTGTCCATCCAAGTCGATTTGAAGGTCACTGATAGCGCAGTGGTTCCGTGCAGCCAGCCTGCATTTTGTCTCCACTCAATGACAGTTTGAATCTGAGTGAGAGTGATTGTTTGTCTGTTTGTGTCTTATGATGGACTGGGTCCCAATTCAGACTCCATTTTATCTTTCTCCCACATATTGTGGGGATAGGCAGACCCATCCCCCTTTTGGGGATGGGAAAATTGATTGATGGAGATAAAGAATTGCAAAGCACCATGGTAGAGGAGCACTTATAGTGAGATGTTTGGAAAGAATTTTGGATACAATGTCCAACTTAGAATTGCAAAATGTGCTTTCCCAGGTGTTATCTGTATGCGTGGAAGAGGAGAACATTATTCCATACATCACCAATGTGCTCCAGAACCCAGACCTGGCTCTCCGCATGGCAGTCCGCAATAACCTTGCCGGTGCTGAGGAGTTGTTCGCCCGCAAGTTTAACACCCTCTTTGCTGCAGGGAATTACTCAGATGCTGCCAAAGTGGCAGCCAATGCACCAAAGGTACAATCATGTGGTACCCCTTTAACCTCAGGCAAAATCCTAGTTCAATTGTTTGCTCCTCCGACTCTGGAACATATCGAAACATCACAACATTTATCATTGCCAACATTGCCCCTCAATTTTAATTAGGGCACTCCATTGTGATTTAATTAATGTGGTCACCTAACTGGCTTTTTTTTTTCCCAGGGCATACTGCGAACACCGGACACTATTCGCAGGTTCCAGAGTGTTCCTGCTCAACCCGGCCAGCGGTCACCATTGCTTCAGTATTTTGGGATCTTACTTGATCAAGGCCAGCTCAATAAGTTTGAATCTCTAGAGCTGTGTAGGCCTGTCCTCCAGCAGGGCCGCAAACAGCTGCTGGAGAAATGGCTGAAAGAAGACAAGGTCTGTGCTCATTCGATGGTTTTATAGTCGGCAATCCTTTTGTCCTCCGGAATAGGCTTCTAGCGCATACTGGACAGATTTATAAGTCCTGCTTTGTTTCCAGCTGGAGTGCTCAGAGGAGCTTGGAGATCTGGTCAAGTCGGTGGATCCCACACTCGCCCTCAGCGTGTACCTGCGAGCAAACGTCCCCAACAAAGTCATTCAATGCTTTGCTGAGACTGGCCAGTTCCAGAAGATTGTACTGTATGCCAAGAAGGTTTGTTTCTGTGTCTTATTTGATTTTTTTCTTTACCACATATATATATACATATAATTTTAGCAGTAAAGTCTTTTTGTGAACTAAGACAATCATTATTGAATACATATGGCCAGTACCATCCATGTTTTAAATTATAAATCACATTATTCTAGTTACAAAATAATTATCTTTGTATTTATTTTTTAATGTGTGTAAGGTGGGTTACACTCCAGACTGGATCTTCCTGTTGCGGAATGTAATGCGGATCAGCCCTGAACAAGGGCTTCAGTTCTCCCAGATGCTGGTGCAGGATGAAGAGCCTCTTGCTGACATTACACAGGTACAAACAAAGAAGCCACAGCATAGCCAGTATTGATAGCGTGCCTTTTTGGCTTAAAAGAAACTGCAAGTACAGAGTACGTAGAGTCGATTGAGGTCATTAAAATGGTATGATTTTTGTGATGAACCACATGATGAGTTGTTTCTTTTGTGTGTCTAGATTGTGGATGTTTTCATGGAATATAACCTGATCCAGCAATGCACATCCTTTCTGCTGGATGCATTGAAGAACAACAGGCCCATGGAAGGACCATTGCAGACACGTCTGCTAGAAATGAATTTGGTCCATGCCCCGCAGGTATAAGAATGCATAAAAATAGATGAGAAGAAAATCGTTATTTTCAGTCATTGTACCGGTAATTAACTTGACTTTGAATGACTGACCACTTACAACTGAATCGAATTATTATTGCATTCATTTTTTGTCATACTAACTGTCATTTATGTGAACGATGAAGTGTTTTTAAGTGTCTAAAGTACTCGGGTGATTTTTGCAGGTAGCAGATGCTATTTTGGGCAACCAGATGTTCACTCATTATGACCGTGCCCATGTGGCACAGCTTTGCGAAAAGGCTGGTCTCCTGCAGAGGGCGCTGGAACATTATACTGACCTGTATGACATTAAGCGGGCTGTGGTGCACACACACCTCCTAAACCCAGAGGTATGCTGGCAATTTCAAAAATGTAAAAAAGAAAAAAAAAAAAGTATCTGCCTAATGTGTTACAGAATACTAATTGTCCCTCATTTGTGTCCTCATAGTGGTTAGTCAATTTCTTTGGCTCCCTATCAGTGGAGGACTCTTTGGAATGTCTTCGAGCCATGCTCTCTGCGAACATCCGCCAGAACCTGCAGATCTGTGTCCAGGTTGCCTCCAAGTACCATGAGCAACTCAGCACTCAGAGCCTCACTGAACTTTTTGAGTCCTTCAAAAGCTTTGAAGGTACACCTTGAGAGTCAGAGAGTTAGTTGTTACTATCGCCCAGTCACATGATTTTTTTATTTATTTATTTTTCTCTTTCACTCAGCACTCAGAGCCTCACTGAACTTTTTGAGTCATTCAAAAGCTTTGAAGGTACACCTTGAGAGTCGGAGAGTTAGTTGTTACTGTTGCCCAGTCACATGATTTTTTAAGTTTATTTATTTTTTTTGTCTTTTAGGGTTGTTCTACTTCTTGGGTTCCATTGTCAACTTCAGCCAGGACCCAGAGGTTCACTTCAAGTACATTCAGGCTGCCTGCAAGACAGGCCAAATCAAAGAGGTGGAAAGAATCTGCAGAGAGAGTAACTGCTACGACCCTGAGCGTGTGAAGAACTTCCTCAAGGTCAAAATGGCTTGCAAGCTGCACACTTTGGACATGGAAAAATCTTTCTGACTATATACATTGAAGTCTTTTTTTCTCTCTCTCTCTCTCTGCAGGAAGCCAAGTTAACCGATCAACTGCCTTTGATCATTGTGTGTGACCGCTTTGATTTTGTCCACGATTTGGTCTTGTATTTGTATCGCAACAGTCTGCAGAAATACATTGAGATCTATGTGCAGAAGGTACGTTGCTGTTCTGAGCTTATATGTCATCATTTACTTTAAATTGGGCCAAAATCTGACTCGGCGCATTTCTGATTTTCTGCAGGTAAACCCAAGTCGTCTCCCAGTGGTCATTGGAGGTTTGCTGGATGTTGATTGTGCCGAGGATGTGATCAAAAACCTGATCATGGTCGTCAGAGGACAATTTTCTACTGATGAACTTGTTGCTGAAGTGGAAAAGAGAAATCGGTAAGAAAAGGAGGAAACTGACATGCATGATGTGGCTGTGTGATTATTTTTTTTCTCATGTAAAACAACTGCCTTGGCCAAATCAAAGTTGGGAAACACTTCTCGAAATGTCTGAAATCCCCCCTATCTTTTTCCCAACAGACTGAAGCTTCTCCTCCCTTGGTTGGAGGCTCGTATTCATGAAGGCTGCGAGGAGCCCGCGACCCACAATGCCCTGGCTAAGATTTACATAGACAGCAACAACAACCCCGAGCGCTTCCTGAGGGAGAACCCCTTTTACGACAGCCGTGTAGTGGGCAAATACTGTGAAAAGAGAGACCCCCACCTCGCCTGCGTGGCCTATGAAAGAGGACAATGTGACCAAGAACTAATTCATGTGAGTTGTTGTCATCGAAGGCCAATGGCATTACTTGGACTTATATGGGTGTTCACTTCAAACCTATTTTTGTTTAATGTGTTAGGTGTGTAATGAGAACTCGCTGTTCAAGAGTCTGTCACGCTACCTCGTGCGTCGCAAGAATCCTGAACTGTGGGCAAGCGTGCTGCTGGAGACCAACAACTACAGAAGACCACTCATCGATCAGGTCTCGCATCTTCCTGTCATTTTTATTAAATAGTAGAAAATCTGACCCGATCTAGTAAACACAGTTTTTTTCCCCAACACTTTATAACAGGGTCCTTCTAAACCGCCTCTTCCATTGTACCGGTTCTACCCCAAAACAGCCTGGTTCTGCCCAGTGCGGTCACTTTTCCATCACACTTTTTTGGAGCCATGTGCTTATAATTAAAGTGTGCATTTGATGAGCTCTAATTTGCAACGTTACGAATCGCTGCAAAACCAGTGGCTGAGACTCCCCACTCGTGAAATCTTACTGCAGAACCCCAGTTATGTTGTTAATGAATGCTGTGAGATTTCGCTTCAAGGCTGATGTCCTACTGTGATGCAGGTTGTCCAGACTGCCCTGACAGAGACCCAGGATCCCGAGGAAGTGTCTGTTTCAGTGAAGGCTTTCATGACTGCCGACCTTCCCAATGAGCTCATTGAGCTTCTGGAGAAGATTGTCCTGGATAACTCTGTCTTCAGCGAGCACAGGTATAATGCGATAATTATTATTGTTTTTTACAGAGGCCCCAAAAAAATTCTCACTGATATCTCCTTGCCTCGTGTATGTTTTAGAAACCTTCAGAATCTGCTCATCCTGACAGCGATCAAAGCCGATCGGACCCGGGTCATGGAGTACATTAACCGTCTGGACAATTATGATGCCCCAGATATTGCAAACATTGCCATAAGCAATGAGCTGTTTGAGGAGGCATTTGCTATTTTTCGGAAATTTGATGTCAACACATCTGCTGTGCAGGTGAGCGACTTCTTTGATTTACTTACTTAAGCTTCGTGATTTTATTCGCCTCTGTATCGGATTAGAACACTGTCCCATTACATGTAGGTTCTGATTGAGCACATTGGTAACTTGGATCGAGCCTATGAGTTTGCCGAGCGCTGCAATGAGCCTCCAGTGTGGAGTCAGCTAGCGAAAGCCCAGCTGCAAAAGGGCCTCGTCAAAGAAGCTATTGACTCATACATCAAGGCTGATGACCCCTCCGCTTACATGGAGGTGGGACAGGCTGCAGCTCAGAGTGGTAAGACCAACTCTAAAAACCATATTCGCTTGTTTGGACTTTTCAAAGAATACACAGTTTGTGGGAATTTCAAACACAATATCATTTTAACGCGACTTTGGTCAAACAAAAGCAATGTGTTATGATGTGTGTAGGAAACTGGGAGGACCTTGTAAAGTTTCTGCAGATGGCGCGAAAGAAGGCCCGCGAGTCCTATGTTGAAACTGAGTTAATCTTTGCTCTGGCAAAGACCAACCGCCTTGCCGAGCTAGAAGAGTTCATCAATGGGCCCAATAATGCCCACATCCAACAAGTAGGTTCTGGGACGTCTCCAAATCTACCAACTTCTCGTCCATTTATTATTTCTTGACTTATCTTTTTCTTGCCTTTGCTTTTAGGTGGGCGACCGTTGCTATGATGATAAGATGTATGAGGCAGCCAAGCTGCTTTACAACAATGTGTCCAACTTCGGTCGCCTGGCTTCCACTCTGGTGCACCTGGGAGAGTATCAGGCAGCTGTGGACGGAGCTCGCAAAGCCAACAGCACACGCACCTGGAAAGAGGTGAGAAAGGGCAGATTGGTTTGAAATGGAATTCACTACTTGTCTGAATTTAGCTTTTATCCGGTGTTACAGTGCAAACAAATAGTGCTCTCGGTCCATTTCTCTCTCACTTGTAGGTGTGCTTTGCATGCGTCGATGGGAAAGAGTTCAGGCTTGCTCAAATGTGCGGCCTGCACATTGTTGTACATGCCGACGAGCTGGAAGAACTCATCAATTACTACCAGGTACAAAGCATGACAATCCTTTTTACATGCAGTTCATACACGCTCATTGAAATGTAGCCATTGGACATCGAAGAGACAGATTATAAAGGGTTGAAAAGGTTTGAGTGAGCTTTATGTCTTCATTTCTTTAGGACCGTGGCTACTTTGAGGAGCTGATCACCATGCTGGAGGCTGCTTTGGGTCTGGAGCGAGCTCACATGGGAATGTTCACAGAGCTGGCCATTCTCTACTCCAAGTTCAAACCCCAGAAGATGAGGGAGCACCTCGAGCTGTTCTGGTCCCGTGTGAACATTCCAAAGGTATACCCAGGGAAACGTCACATCACATTAAAAAAGATATATTTACCAGAGAAACGTGTTTTTGAAGGGACTTACTGTATGCGATGGCGCTAAGACTATTCACGCAGGCCTTTGTTATGACCCAATACTGGTTATTGATGTGAATTTTAAGGTTCTCAGGGCAGCTGAGCAGGCCCACCTCTGGGCAGAGCTGGTGTTCCTCTATGATAAATACGAGGAATATGACAATGCCATCATCACCATGATGAACCATCCTTCTGACGCCTGGAAAGAAGGCCAGTTCAAAGACATTGTCACCAAGGTGGGGCTCCTCTACGAAACAAACATGTTTATTGTCACTGAAGTGTGACCTGTAACATCTTTGCTTTTTCACTCTAGGTGGCCAATGTGGAGCTGTACTACAAAGCCATCCACTTTTATCTGGAGTTCAAACCTTTATTATTAAATGACTTGCTCATCGTTCTCTCCCCGAGACTGGACCACACACGTGCTGTAAATTTTTTCAGCAAGGTGAGTGGCTTCCTCTTTTTATGCTTTGACAAAAGCACAACTGCATACAAACTTTAGCCTCAAAAATGTATATTTGTCTCAACACCACCGGTGGAAGTGTGGAAGCTTTTATGCTTTGACAAAAGCACAACTGCATACAAACATTAGCCTCAAAAATGTATATTTGTCTCAACATCACCGGTGGAGGTGTGGAATGACACAGACATTTTATTTTTTCATTTCTGATTCATTGTTCAGGTGAAGCAGGTACCTCTGGTTAAACCATATTTGAGGTCTGTCCAGAATCACAACAACAAGTCGGTCAATGAATCTCTCAACAACCTTTTCATCATCGAGGAAGACTATGCGGTATGATGTCAATGGTGGAAAGAATTGTTTTACACTCTAACTTAGCGTCGTCGTTGTTATTTAGTTTCAATGTATTTATATCCCTGATTGTGTTCTCTTCATGCATTGGCGACCCCTGACGCGATATCCAGTCACTACGCACTTCCATTGACGCTTACGACAACTTTGACAACATCTCGCTCGCCCAAGGACTCGAGAAACATGAGTTGATCGAGTTCAGAAGGATCGCGGCGTACCTTTTCAAGGGTAACAACCGCTGGAAACAGAGTGTTGAGCTTTGCAAGAAAGACAAGCTCTACAAGGTGCTTTGGGACGACACTCGCATGAACTGCATACTTTGGCTCGCTGCGTTAATATGCTCACACAGCCACCAGCTGAACCATTAACATACCGGTATATGTTTTTACGTCCCCTTGTGCAGGACGCCATGCAGTACGCGTCTGAGTCCAAAGACATTGAGCTGGCTGAGGAACTTCTTGCATGGTTCCTGGAGGAGGACAAGAAGGAGTGTTTCGCTGCTTGCTTGTTCACCTGCTACGACCTGTTGCGGCCTGATGTGGTGCTCGAGACCGCTTGGAGGCACAATATCATGGACTTCTCCATGCCATACTTCATCCAGGTCATGAGGGAGTACCTCAGTAAGGTGGGTCGTTCACACACGAAGGGAATAAAAATAAAACACCGCGTTAATCGGGTAGGACAACATACGGCGGTTGTACTAATAAGGGCGTAAGACAGGTGAACACGCAAAGCTAACTGCAATAATAGAAAATGAACTAAGTTATGAAGAGAGTTTCAAATGACTTTTTCTCCTTGCGGCCAGATGTTGGAAAATTGTTTTCGTAAAGTATCACATAGAGAGCCTAGTAGATGGACCTTCGGAATTAATGTTTCCCTTCAAGGCAAACTTTGCTGGGGTTGTTTGTGCCAATAGGGAGTAGACATATGCACCCACGCCATTTAATTTGCAAATACTGTTTAACATCAGGCAGTGAAGCATAGTTCCCCGTGTCTACATCGCAGTCTCTACGTGTATGTTTTTGCTCCCCTTGATGCTCATTTTCCTTATGACCTTCATGTGCCATCACTGGTTTCATATCCTTTTTCACTTGGATTTTCATCCACTCAAGCTACTTTCCCATACAAATGTGCTCCAGGGGGAGTCATGGCAGTTTTAATCACTTTTCAAGTTAGATGGAATAAAACAGAGGTAATAACAGGCAGCAGATGTGAGAGCGATGCTCTTATTGCATCATGGACCGGCAAGTTCCTGAGGCTTTTACGGCCACCATGATTATTAATATGCAGTATTACGGCGGTACTGCGTATTTAGTGGAAAAGGCTACTGGTTGAGAGTTGTTCAAGCTCATCATCGAACTTCTTAGTAGTTTTTCAATTGTAAAGACTCATGTGCAGAATAAGCACGGTTTGCCCTCTGCGTTTAACCAATCGGAAATTCTCAGTAGAGAACATAGCAATTATACGGCATTATACTCGCACTAGAGGAGTTTGGGGGGGAAAGGTGCCTTGCTCAGGGGTGCCTCTATCACAAAATCCTGGCAAACCTGGGGTCAAATTCGTAACTAATTGTCCAGTGCCTCAATAGTGAGTTTCACATGTGTAGTTTGTACTTTTGTTAACAATTCAGTTAAACTGAGGATACCAAAGTTACCTGGAGTATGCATTTCTATCAGAAGTGGCATTATTACTTGCATCCCCTCTGTGTTTTGTGTTGTCGTTTAATGTTAAATCCTGTTTGCTTGTTTCTCACTGTCAGTTTCTATTGTGGGAGACTTTCACTTGCTTTTTTTCCCTTAAGTTGCCTCTCTGAATTTCCTTTCCAGGTTGATGCGATAAAGGAAAAGGTGAACGTTGAATCCATTTCCTAATCATCCTTATTGACTCGCTGTCCTATAACCTGTAGTAGTTTGGGGGAATAAAATTAGCAGAAACTGCATGAATCCCCCCCCCCACTTTGTCACTATGCTGCTTTTCCTGTGTCCAACTCTGCATCTTCACTAGACCACTTAACGATTTCCCCATCATCCAAAGTGGGGCTCTTCACATTGCATCTTTAGGGGTCTGCTGCTGGGCTGTTAGCTGGGAGAGTCTTTGATACAAAGATCACGCAAACAAACAGACAGCCCCCCCCCCACCCCCCTCAAATGAAAGAATAACCTCCCAGTGGAGGTTGACAGTCATCAGCCAGCAAAGCTTTCAGTCCCTCTTTTGTATCAGCGAGTGAAAAGTGCCACTCTGGATCACTACCTGCAGTGTCAGGTCTGTTTCTCGCATACATTTAGATGACTTCTAAAGTTACACTGGTTCTGACCTACCCCTTCTCAACACCATCCTGTTATTATTAGTCGACAGCATTTCCCGCAGGTAGATAATGAGTTTCAATTCTTTCTTCCTGAACGTTTTCCACTGTATTTCTCTGTCTACTATATGCTTGAATTCATTCCTGTGCTTGAATAGTACATTAAAACAAATATCAGGTACACGGAGAGGAATTTGTGTTCAGTGATTTTTTTTGAAGGGCGGGGGGGGGGGGTATCCCTCCCTCAATTGTCTTAACAGTTATAAAGCAAATAATGTGCAGCTCGGGTAGTTTATTCGGTGAGGCTACATGACGACGTGTGGAGCAACACGCATGCATTGCCCCTCCCTCGGTAACATCAGGAGCACCGGGCAAGGCGATATCGTTGTTGGCTGTGCCTGCTTCTGGAAACCTTTCAAGTGGCTGTACAAGAGCATCCCGTCTGCCCTCTTTCTCCCTCCCTCCACTCTGGCGCTGCGCTTCTCTTTTCTCTCTCTCACGCATTCTTAAAGAGGAACGTAACGAAAAACGACTGCTTCCGCATGTATCTCAGCCCTTCTCTTTTCAAAATGCAAGAGCCTGCACAACCAGATTGACTGATACTTTAGGGTACCACACAGTATGTAGAGAATTGACCCCAGTACCAGGACAGGGACACCTCACATGTCCTGTACTTCTTCATCAAAGTTCAAGGTTTTATACTTCAAGCCGCATATTTTCTTAACTCGTTTCGCTGGCTGCTTAATTCATTTGCATTTCGCTGTTAATTTTCTGCTTGCCAACTGCTAATAGTAAAAAATGTAATACTGTATAGTCAAGAAAGACCTTAACCCCCTGCCCCAATAAAAAGTTCAATAAATTGTCTTTAAGGAGATATGTTATGCTTTTTTTTGGGTCAGAATTCCCAAGGATTGAAAGTATGGCGCACACTCTACACCGCCTACTTTTGTCTGGATGAAATTAGCTTGTTTTGAGGAGGCAGCCCTGTCCCAGCCGCATAAACTGCTGGACCAATGGCTTTTGCAGATTTCAATTCCGTGATGACTTGGGTGGAGTGCATATTGAGTCCAGAATCTAAAAACCCAAACAAAACACTCTACCTACTCTAGCAAGTGCTTCTGGAGCCGTAACAATTCTGGAATTTCTTGTCTTTGTTTTTCTTCTCACTTTCTCCTTTCACCACCCTTTGCTTCTTTTTCATTTGTAGTCGGCATTCGAAGTCTTCTGTGGTACGCGGATGTTTTCTGACATCTCCTAGTTTCCTCGTAAATGTTGGTCAAATTGCAAATTGCAAGGGTGTTCAACTTTAGACATTCCTCTGGATACTGAAAATGAACTGTTGGCAGATTACCGCAATATGTCGCAGCAGGCATCTTTTGGATGTTCTTATGGTCTTCCTTGTGGTTAATTGAAATCAATCAATATGTTGTCTAGGACCAAAATCATAGAGTCATTTCAGATGGATACAATATTCAGGGCATTAGTAATAGTAATTTTATACGAGCAATTTTTAGTGGGCGCTGTAGTATTGTCCAATACATCGAACATGAAATTCTTTGTGATACTCAGTATTTCGTCTCACCTCCCTTTTCCATCAGGAAAAAAAAAAAAAAACCTTCTCATAACCTTGTCACTCTTCTCCTCCATAGTCCTTTGTTTAGCTTTAAATTGTAATACACCAGTTATGTTGTTTAATCCCACTCCACAAATGCGACTGTACAAAGAGTGCCTCCAGCATTTGCAGTCACAACGAAGCACAACATATAAACGATGACTAATTAGGTCTACCTACATTTTTTTTTTTTTTTAGAACAACCATAGATAAGAAGTGGTTTGTACTGGTGCCGGGTTCCTTCTCTACATACTCTCAAATCATAGAGTAGATGATTGGGGTGGCTGGATGGGTGGGACCATTATTGCCATAAATCTGTGTTTATATTCCCCGTAACACCCACATTAGACTCTGCGTCCCTTAAACAAAGGCAAATTGGACAGTAGGCACTTTTAGTACTTTAGTTGTGCTGTCGTGGCTATAGTCGGTTAACGGAGGACCTCCAGCTGCACATTTTCACTTAAATGTGGACGGTGCTCATCTCCGCCTGTCAGGAATGGTCCCATCCTTCAGCCAGTGAAATAACCCAGAGGTCAGTTTTTACCAACCTGGCGTCTTCGCAAGCCTCCGCCCAAGCTGCGAAACCCACCGAGATGATTCTCACACCGCCGCTTTTCTTCTCCCCAGGTGGACAAGCTCGAAGCTTCTGAATCCCTGAGGAAACAGGAGGAGCAAGCCACGGAATCTCAACCAATTGTTTATGGTAAACGCATTGCACTGCTGGTAACTCTCGGGGCTGTGATGTCATTGTGGCCACATCGCTAAGCTCCTTGTGAACAACAATAAAAAGGGCTTCTTTCTAGACTTGGGGGTGGGGGAAGAAAGAATATATTTTCTTCCAGATTTTCAGGGACAAAGGAGCTATTTCATGGAATAATATTAGTTTCCAAAAATATGAGTTTACGGCACTCCAATGTGGCAAATAAAGTGCAATTAGTTTCCAAAAATATGAGTTTACGGCACTCCAAATAAAGTGCGTAGTTTTAATTTTAAGAAGTACAGAAACCCTTTGCTGACTGGGGGGCGGGGCGAAAAAAATGACCGGTATATTTTAATTTAAGCAGTGGATGTCTCTTTGCTGGCTGTAGAAAATTTTTGCTGTTAGTGACGCCGGGTTGTTTTGAGGTACGAGTGTAATTTGTTCTCTGATCGTACTTGTATCTCGAAACTTGAGGTACGAGTGTAATTTGTTCTCTGATCGTACTCAAAATAAATGTGTCTCAACTCATATTTCTGATTGAAATGAATGGAAATGTTTGCTTTGCAGGCACACCACAGCTGATGCTCACTTCAGGCGCCAACGTTGCCGTGCCTCCTCAGCAGGCTTACGGCTACGGGTACACAGCAGCACCAGGTTACGGGCAGCCGCCGCAGGCCAACTTTGGTTACAGCATGTGAACGACCCCTCCCGCCAGCACCTTTTTCCCCCTTTTCCCATCCACTCCCCTCCACCTGTCCCTCTCTTTGCGTTCTTCTCCAGCCTCCCACGGTCTCTTACCCTCAGCAGAGGCTCCAAGCAAGCATAGCCCACTTTTATTTTGTATTCATTTTGTTACTGTTGTTACGACACTTTTGTCCTCCTGTTTGAAGAAAAACGTGTCCATGCTATGAAGGACTTTTATTTGTATTGTTTGAACTGAAATTGGACCACATTTGCATTCCCCACATTCCGTATTTATGACCCCCTTGTCTAGAAATGTTTTTTTGGTACGTTCCTGTGATGTTATTTATTTTAATGATTTGTTGTAAGTGGACTTGCTGAAGCTGAGCAAACTTTGAAGACGGTGGAGAGGAGCATTGGGTTTTGCACTCGTGAAGAAAATTCCTGTGGAGAGACGCTCTTATGTTTTGATGTATGGAACATGTGACCAGCTTAACCGTGTCTCGTTTTGTCTGTACAATGCATTACTTCACTGTATATTTTGAGGAGGAGGAAAAAAAAAAGGTTACATAGAGTATTTGAACATATATCGCCATTTGGATGGCTACCCCTAGCAACACAAAGTACAGTCATGATAGTATATTCTGCACAGGTGTGTAGCTTTATGGAGTCTTAAATGCATTCAGACGTATGCCACTTTATGATTGAGACTGTGTGTATGTGTGACCTGATGATGGTCTGAATAAGAATTTTACCACCACCGCCCCCCGCCCCCTCTCTCCCAAACCCTGTACGGTTGGTCCCTGATTGATATTAGCTCTCCTGTGTGTGTTTAGGTGACCTCTTGTGCCGTGTACAGTGCTTGTGTGAGACTATATCTGTGTATGTGCAAGGGCATGACCACGCAGACCTGTTCCGTGTGTGTGTGCGCGCGCGTGTGTGTGCGTGTGTTTATGGTGAGCCCTTTCCTCTGAGGTCTGTTTATGCCAGGTGTTGTGACGTTTCCCTCGGATTTTATTTTGGTTCGTTTTTTTTTTTTTTTTTTTGGTGTGTACAGATGTGACCATAACTTTTAAACATTGTAGATGGTGAGACAATGCTCCCACGCAAACACCAATCTTTCCCCCACCTCGCTCATCCTCCCAAAACAAAGAAGACTTTTTTTTGATGTCCAAATGACAGCTCGATGAAACCCACATGTAGGTTGCATGTGTTAGATGGTGAAGAAAATAGGTCTCGGTACATCCAGAACGGTGTTAAATAAGAGCCAAAATTTACCTTAATGTACTTACATCCCTCAAATGGCGTGCACATATAAAGTGTCACTCTCCATAAGTTGAATTCCTTTTTGTTGTCATACATATGAATAAACAAAGGGGTTCTGTCAAAGTAGAATATGACCTAACTCAAAGGGAAGTGCTAGCCTCAATAAAAAGTAAAAATTGTCATCTGTTTTCTGTCCCGTCTGAATGGAAATTTGGTTTCATGTGGTTGTGTACAGTAAAAGGTTTTTTTTTTTTGGGTTTTGTCCACATGGTTGCGGTGCATTTGAATACATTCTTTGAATTACTATTTTTAACTGTGCCACACGATTTTAGTGTGTTATGATCATCCAGATTAACATGTTATTGTTTGATTTACAAAATACAATTGTGCGTATCATTGGATCATGTAAATTAGAATATAGTTTTTATTCATTGAAGTTTTCTTCACTACTATTACTTTTTTTCCCTGTTTTTACAGTTTTTTTTTTTTGGTCGTAATGATTTACCAAAAGTTGGGAAATAGTTGGCTGATTTTCAGAGTACTTTCTTCAGCCTGGGTCCACCACATCTGTCAACTAAAAGAGATGATGTTTCTGCATCTGACACTCCCGAAGCAGAGCCATCAGAATGTTGGATGACAAGCAAATGAAAGTCAATCAAAAGACAAACTCTGCTCAAGATGAATTTGTTTATTCACTCATCACAGATAATCATGAGTGTTTAGTTGAACAACCTTTATAGTCCAAACATAAAATTGGAAGATTCCCATGGTGATACATTACAGTCTTCCACAACCATGCAATTTGCATACCGTATGCACCTACGATACCATTTATGAATCACTACATCTGAACTGTACCAATCGCCACATGGTTGCTCAAAATAGTGAAATACTTATTTTGTAGGTCATGTTAAAAGGTATTTTCTTGTTGATGCTGTGTAGATTTAATCTGAGTAGATCAAAGCGGCCATACTTTCCTTTCCACTTCACTGCAGTATTTCTCACTGAGCCCTATTGCCCTGCAAGTGGACAAAAATTATAATAAATACATTCGATTGACACAAACACCTTGAGAAAATTCTCCACGGGGCGTGTACAACAAAACTCTGCTCAAGATGAATTTGTTTATTCACTCATTACAGATAATCATGAGTCGACCCCAAGTGTTTTAGTTGAACAACCTTTATAGTCCAAACATAAAATTGGAAGATTCCCATGGTGATACATTACAGTCTTCCACAACCATGCAATTTGCATACCGTATGCACCTACGATACCATTTATGAATCACTACATCTGAACTGTACCAATCGCCACATGGTTGCTCAAAATAGTGAAATACTTATTTTGTAGGTCATGTTAAAAGGTATTTTCTTGTTGATGCTGTGTAGATTTAATCTGAGTAGATCAAAGCGGCCATACTTTCCTTTCCACTTCACTGCAGTATTTCTCACTGAGCCCTATTGCCCTGCAAGTGGACAAAAAATAATAATAAATACATTCGATTGACACAAACGCCTTGAGAAAATTCTCCACGGGGCGTGTACAACGTGTACTTACTTGAGCTCCTTCAGCTTCTTCCGTTTGATGTCACTGATGCGCTTGAGTCTCTGCCGGGCCTCCTCGCTCAGTTTCTCCGCCTCCTTAAAGGTCTCTTTGCACTTGGCGACGTTGGCCATTTCCAGCTCCTTCACCTGCTGCCTGATGGCCTCGGCGTGGCGGAGTGCCTTCTGACGCCGCTTTTGGTCTTCTTCTTTCTGTCTGACGCACGCCTCCTGTTGAACCCTACGTGGGTCAAAAAGCGCAATGAGCGAAGGAGAAACGGAAATCATCCGAACCGTGTCACTGTCATCTCTCACTTTAGAACCCTCTCGAACTCAGCCTTCTCTCGGCCGGCCTCCATGGACAAGAGCTGCTCTTTACGCTGAACCTGCTCGAGGCGAGCAGCTCGAAGCATGGCCTCCTCCTGAGCCTTCTTGGCAGCCATCTCCAATTCCTTCCTCCTCCATTCTCTGTCAGCAATCTCTTGGTTCCTCTTAGCACGAAGCTCATCCTTCCAAATGCATCCACACGCAGCAGCAAAGCTGCGTTTAGAGTCGTGAGTGGTTCTTATCTTTTTCATTGCGTGGCGTTTGGCGCCGTCGTAAACCGAGACCCCCTCTCAAGTATTCACTAGCTCTCCTGAAAATGACTCATTTTGGAGAATGAACCATCCGATATTGAAATGCTTTAGAGAATCCCCGAATAGTTGTCATTCCTGACCTGGTCGGCCTTGTGGTCTCTCGCTCTCTCCTGCTGAGCTCTCATCTTGGCAATCTCCAACTCCTTCTCCCTCTTCATCCTCTTCTGTTCCGCTTCGTACTCGGCCTCTCGTTGCTGCAGGAAATATAGAATTTAAAGGTACAGTAATGGCAAATAAGTACATCAATTTGATAAAGCACTTGTCTTCCTTTTGTCACAGAGAAGCTGAAGCCAACCCCAGCTGACTTTAGGGCAAGACACACAGCACACCCTGGAATGGTCACTATTGAATTGCGGCTTCTGAATTGCGTATACAGTATCTTCTTATCAAACAGCCATTCAAACTCACATTCACACCTAGGTACAATTTAGAGTAGAGGTCTCAAACCCACACCCCCAACCGGATGTTCTCTAGCACCAAAACCCCTCAACTTCCGATCCTCGAGTCAGCCCTGTTCAAGAACCCCATCAATTAAATGGCAGTGCAAAAGTATTTTCCTCATCGTCATGGCGATGGTCTTCTAACCAATTTGTTTTTGATGTACTCCATTTCTTTCATGTCCGCCAGCTTCTCCTCTTCTCTCCTCAGCTCCTGTGCCCTCAGTGTCTCAGCATTGATGCGCAGGACCTCCTGGTGCAGACGCTGTTGTTCCTCCCTCCTCTTCTTCAGGGCCTGCAACAAAACAGGTAGTCAAACTCAGCTGTGTATTTTACTGACCATCATATTTTGCGGTACCATGAGGTCCTCCATGTTCATTCTGGCTTGCTTTTCTCTGGTCTCGTGTTTCTCTTGCTCTTTTAGCTCCTCTTGTACCAGCCTCTCCTCCAGACGCTGCTGCATCTGCTCAAAGATTTGTTGTTTCCCACTGGAGAAAACACACAACACACATTCCAGATGCCATTAGGATGAGAACGGTGGTGTTTTTTTGTTTTTTGTTTTTTTTTTGGGGGGGGTGGCAGAGCGGTCACCTGATCCTCTCCTGCTTACGTAGTTCATCAGTCTGCTCCACCCTGTCCAGGAACCTGCGGCGCTCAGCTTCCATCATGGCATCCAGACGCTTCTCCTCCTCCAGCATCTCCATCTGGATTTGCTTCTTCTCCTGGATTTGGGCGTCACGTGTGGCTTGGCACTGAGCACCAAGAATCACCTGAGCAGCCCACAGGCATGGAGTTCATCAGTGACTATTACTTGCAAGGTAGTGGTCCTCAAACTTTTTTACAAATACAGTACCCGCCT